GGGCCTATATATAATTACTTATACATTATTATTATACGTATACCAATTTATTTATATATAATTCGTGGGTAATATACTAGAAGGGAAGGGTCACCTACACCCTAATGGCATTTCTACTAATCTTCCATGATTTGACTACGCATTATGCTCGCTTCCCATTTGTATTCCAGATCTTCTGTTCAGAATGGGGCCTCCTCTTTACCACCTATCAGATTTGGCCCTTCCCTCCTACCAAGGAGACCGCTGGTAACATTCACATTTTTTACATGGAATTTTTCGAAATAAAGGGGGCGGTATAGGATTCGAACCCCCGATATCACTGCTAAGACCCTCCGACTCGCCCACTCGAGTCGCTTAGCCCTTCTTTAAATTGGTGTAATCGGTGCATTAGGCTTAGGTTCTACTTTAGAAAATTGCACTCATCTCTCAAATTTGACACTTAATCTTAGGTAAAAACAGTTTTTTTGTTTTTATTTGTGATATTTTTACTTATAAAATTGAATTTAAAACAATATAGTTCTTTCTATTAATTTGTTTATTAACTTTTTATTTGATTTAGTTTTCTTTTTCTTTTTTATTCTACTTCTGTTTTTTCTTCTTCTTTTTTTCTTAATTTAACTCATTTTTTATTTTTAACATTTCTTTTATTTTTTATTAATTCATTTCTTATTATTATTTCATCATTTTTCTTCATTTTTTCCTTCTAAATAGCTAATTAATTATATATTTTTTCTTCAATATTTAAAAAGTGATAATTAGATTAGTGGTTAAGGTGCATCAGGTTTAGGTTCTGGTCTAGTAAATTGTACTAATCTCTCAAATTTGACACTTCATCTTAAGTAAAAACAATTTATTTGTTTTGGATTGTGATATTTTACCTATAAAATTTAATGTTTATTTTTCTTCTATCTTTCTTAATTTTACTTTTTATTTTTTGTTCAGCATTTGCTTTTATTATTTATTAATTAATTTATTTTTTATTATTTGATATTTTTTCTTCATTTTTTCTTTCTAAATAACTAATTAATTAATTATTTATTTATTTTTTCTTCAATATTTAAAAAGTAGGAATTAAATTGATGATTAAGGTGCATTAGGCTTAGGTTCTGCTTTAGCAAATTGCACTAATCTCTCAAATTTGAAACTTTGTCTTAGGTAAATACAGTTTATTTGTTTTGACTTATTATTATTTGATATTTTTTCTTCATTTTTTCCTTCCAAATAACTAATTAATTATATATAATTTTCAATACTTAAAAAGTGCAAATTAAATTCGTGATTTAGGTG